GAGGTAGCATGAGTGGACAGTGAGTGTGTTCACCAGGTTTTTCCACGGGGAGAGACAATCAATGTGGATTGTATTTTTGAGAACAAATGTGAACTCCACGTTTTTGGAGAGTAAAATTATGTTTTTGTCAGAGCGGTTGTTTTCCACGCTTTGCTGGTAATAATGCATGAGTTGACTGAGATAGTAGAGAGCTGAGCGCAGAGCAGGAGAGTCAGTCATTAGCGTGAGAGCTGTGAGATTAGACAGTTGAGTTGAGTTATAGTAGTCTGAGGACGTGTCTTTCTTAATGATGGAATACTATAGATATATATGTGAAATTACATTCATGCAAGGATTATTTATTAATATTATCAATATAAAGTGTGTTCAATAAAGTACTGTGAGTTTTAACTAGAATTGAGCATTCTTCTTTACGTGCCTGAATAATAAGTGAAAGAATGAAGGAGACTGAGTCGGCATCCTGAAGCGTTAATATAAGTAACCATACTACTGACATAACCCACAGCATAAGAAATAACATCCCACGCCATGTCAGAGTAGAAGTGTGTTACAGAACGTCTATTTACCGAGAAAGGACGGGAGTTAACAGAATTGGAGGTCATAGTAACATCGCTTTCATGCTACTATTCACTTGGTGTTTTTTTTGCTTTCTTAGATTTACATACTGACACATCATTAATATCATAGTACCTTATTTTGTCTTGGTTATCTTATTTTTCATTTTAGTTATCTTATTATTTCATCTTCGTTATCTTATTATTTTATATTCGTTATCTTATTATTTTATCTTTGTTATTTTATTATTTTATCCCAGCTATTTTATTATTTTGTCTTTGTTTTCTTATCATTTCAACCTTTTCATCGTATTATTTTATCTTCGTTATCTTATTTTATTATCTTGGTTATCTAAATATTTGACACTGTCCCACTGATTGTAAAATACTATTGTTTAAAAAAAAAGAGTATCAAAATTCTCTGACTTGTAAATTTATCAATTTAATTCAGTATCCTGCACAATATATCTTAAACTTGTGGCGATGACCTGAGAAATCTCCCTCCCACCTATTCAAGCAGAGACTTAATATCAAATGATTGGTATGTGCTTTTTCCAAAGTATTAATATTCAACCTCTAGTCTGATTAATAATTGTATGTATATCATAACATTTTCAGAAATTCACATGCCTTTCATGAATTCAGCTACATTACGATGTAATGTCTGAAGAATTTTGGCCAAAATCTCGGTAATGACATGTCAAAATGTAACGTTCATTAAAATGTTGGCTATATGAGTCGTGCAACGCTGTATGTTTGATTAATCGTCTGTTATTTAAACAACTGACAGTTTGTTAAATTTAATTATTTTTTTAAAGCTTTTTGTTTCATTTAAAGTGTTTTATCTTGTGAATTTATGGACAAACCTAAAAAAAATTGTTTAGTAAAAATTTAGTCTCAAGTTTACATGTGAGAGATTATATCTTCTCATTTAGATCAAGATTATCCCCAGTGCCATTTAAGGACTAAGGGACACGATGATGATGCTGATGTCTGCTAGCGACTGTTACACTGAAGTTCGATATTCTAATCTGAAAGTTTGTAATTTTTGGAAATTGGGACGCATCAGTTATATTAAGTTTAAAGTTAGAATAAGATATTAATTGTTACATTATTTTGGTATAAATTAAGTGATTCTCAAACTTTGTTTGTCCCACCAACCCGAGGAAGCATGTACGCATTCTTAGCGCCCCTTGACAAAACACATTATAAGTATAAATAAGGAAATATTTTTTTCACCAAAAATGAACACAATTTATAGCTAGTAAAATAATTGCATATGTTTACGCTGAAAAAAGTAAAAAATAAAGCTAAACATATCAGTAATACATTCATAAAAGGTGTTCACTGATACATCAATATCTAAAAGTTGGATAATTTGTAATTGATAATACAAGTGGTAAAATTGAAGTACATTTATCACAATTTTTGAATTGACTTGGCGATAACAGTTTTCAAAGAAGTGTTATAACGTAATTTAACACCTCTTCAAGATTCTCGAATATATATTTTGGGTGTTTAAATATTGATTTTTTTCTTGGCCACTTTTCATCGTAATTTTAAATTTATTTCATTAAAATAATCAATATTTATTATAAATTATCAAAGTAGTTTATGATGTATTCATAGAAATGTACATTTAAAAAGGCAAGGGGAAAAAAAAAGCAACATCGACAAGACACATTATAAACACTTGAATTTCGACTGCAGCAGCAAACGTCAAAGTTTATTCTTATTTTCTTAGAACAGAGTTTCTAGAATAGTCCTAAACTGTCATCGTGGGAAATAATTATTTAACTTAAGTCAGGACGTTGTTTTATAACGTGTGTCGGCGATTGATAGTTATTTTAACAACCAGATAATGTTGATTTATGACAGAGTGAAAAGATAGTAAGGAGATATGGTACATACAAAACAATTACATTGAGTTCCGGTACCAACACATTACTGGTGATGAACTTTTCGTTAAGTGAACGACTTGTCAGTAGAGTTCAAAGTTAATTAAGCAGCTTGCACCATTCCTGTGTATGCAATTGTGTGCGACTTTATATTGCGTCACACATCCTTCACATCCCCTTATTGAAACACAAAAGGAACTATGGATTTTTGTGTTTGGGTGATGGGGCAAAGGCTGACAATTTAAAAGAATGTGTTGTCATCAGCAATGAATCTATGTGCAATGTTTCAGTGGGAAGGCAAAGTGGGTTAATGAGCTTTCTGAGACTTTACCAGAAAGAAACACATGAACAAAAGCGAAGTAAATACAATTATTATGGTTTGGGATGGGCTAAAAAATTTGACCAAAAATGCCTTCAATTAACGCACTTAATAAGAATTTCTATCAGTGCTTCTCCAAGACTCACAACCGCACATTCTTTTCACCAGGGACGTCATTTAGGTAGGGCAGGGTTTGGCATGTGTGCATCCACCCCGAATTGTGATCATTGATCTTTTAGATCAGAGAACTACTGAGACCTGAGATCACTAACATTTTAGAAATATATATATCAAATTATTTATTTAAGAAGAAATGTTTTGCTTTAGCTCGCACTATAAAAAGCTTCCTTGAATACGTCGCAGAGTTAGAATATCGACTGCCGGATGACAGTGAGTCAAGTGTTACTGTTATTATTTTAAAATTACTTTGCGTTTAGATCGGGAATTTCCAAGAATGAATCACATTAAACACTTTTTAGTACCGTTGCTCTTAAAATCATGCAACAACATTACACTTCCTTGAACAATCAAATGCAGTTTCTTCTTTTAATACACAAAGGAAAAAAATAGTTTAATTGAAAAAAATTGAAAAAAAACTATCGATGATATTTATTATAATAAACATTTTGGTATTGAGTAAAATACTGAAGCCGCAATAAATTATGAATCGAAATGAAAACAAAAGTAAACAACTGTGCACATCAATCAAAAAGAAAAAAGGGCAGGACCACAAGAACACAGAACCTTCGCTGTGGAGCCAAATCCCAGCCACAGTTGTGCTTGCCATATACATGTACTTGGGTGATAAGGACAGGGTTTCCATGGCAAGGGTAACTAATTTTAAGTAGCAATATGGCTTATGGCTAAACAATATATTATCATAAAATGTTTAAATAGAAATCATAGGGTAAAGTGGATAGATGTACGAGTGATGGATAGATGAGTGGAATGGATAAATTGAAGTAGTTTGGATCTACTGCAATAAGTTATTAGTGACTGTTATGCACTGCTTTCTACTGTGTGAAATTAATCTCCTATGTTAATTGTATGGCTTGTTCAAACAGTACCTGACAAAGGACGATACCATAGAGAAATACATTAACAAAAATACGACACCCAAAACAGTACCAATCACAATTATTAAGATTTAATTTATTTATAATACAATTTCAACACAAAATAAATATATTTACAAATAATCATTATAGAGTATGGTAGATCTTGTATCGGTACACAATTAGTACAATGAGCCAATTAAAATGATGAATGATGTATGCAAATAAACACATATGAGTACACAAAGAATAATACACGTCTCGTGAAGTTAAAAATCTTTGTCTGAATCTCCCTCAAACTCAGAAACACCTTATTTATATAGTGGGTCTACCAACATATTCAGAAGCGACTTTGACATTGTTTAGGTTTCTCGTCAAATCGAGAAAGTTCCACAAGATACTAGGAGACAAACTAATCATGTTTAATTGGTAAACACGACAGATCAAAAGAACTTGCCCCACCCATCTATAAACGAAGCTTCTGTTAGGAATCTAATTTTGGGCATGCAAAGTTCACGCACTGGGAAACTTGTCCTACATATCAGTGACTCTTTTACTCTCGATGCTGCGTGTGAATGAATGAGTTCGAGAGAATGTAAGAATCAAATGGCGAATTTCTATATGTGGCTTGAGGCTATCAACTTAGTACACTACTGAAACGGGGGCATAGTGGACTGCCTGTGTGGGTATTTAAGGAACTCAATGTTGAGATCGTACACGCCAACACTGGTGACGCCATTGCAAATAACATGCACATCAGCAATCGGAAATTGAACAAACTTACGAGGCAATGGGCTGTAAATGACAGATTGCTAAGGGCAATAAAGGAGCAGACACATTAGTAAAAAGAACAGATCTGCCCAGCCACAATCAAGGAATGAAGTCTCCTTTCTCGGTATCAAAAATTAGTTTTATGATCATTTTAGGGCAATGCGTGATCAAACTTCACGCTAACATTGGCCTCCCAGAAAGTCGAATTTTTAAAAAGACAGCAACAGAGCTTTAGACATCGGATAGGGAGTGATAACTGCCCCACTAGGTTCTACTGCTACAGGCCAGACATGACAAAGAACTAAACTGTTGACATTACACAATGACCCACAGAAATAGTTGTACACTTGTTAAATTCGAGCCCCAAAACTCATCTTTTGGAGACCAAGACCGCATGCAAGCCCAAAATGTAAAAAATATCTTTGGACAGCTTAACCGACAAAGCGTTTTGCAGTTTTAAAGCCAGGATGGTGGGAGAGCGTGGGTTAAGACCTCACCAAAATATGAACAACATTGACGAAATGATGGATGAGAGAACAACTTAAAAGCTGGATGCGTAAATAATCTTAATAATTGGTGTTAGAACCAATGGATGAATGAGAGGTTGGCTGCGTGATTAAAATGTAGTAAAGATGAGTGAATGAATGAAAGGTTGGCCGTGTGAATAAACTGATGTACAGATGAGTGAATGAATGAGAGGTTGGCCGTGTGAATAAACTGATGTACAGATGAGTGAATGAATGAGAGGTTGGCCGTGTGCATAAACTGATGTACAGATGAGTGAATGAATGAGAGGTTGGCCGTGTGCATAAACTGATGTACAGATGAGTGAATGAATGAGAGGTTGGCCGTGTGAATAAACTGATGTACAGATGAGTGAATGAATGAGAGGTTGGCCGTGTGAATAAACTGATGTACAGATGAGTGAATGAATGAGAGGTTGGCCGTGTGCATAAACTGATGTACAGATGAGTGAATGAATGAGAGGTTGGCCGTGTGAATAAACTGATGTACAGATGAGTGAATGAATGAGAGGTTGGCCGTGTGAATAAACTGATGTACAGATGAGTGAATGAATGAGAGGTTGGCTGTGTGAATAAACTGATGTACAGATGAGTGAATGAATGAGAGGTTGGCTGTGTGAATAAACTGATGTACAGATGAGTGAATGAATGAGAGGTTGGCCGTGTGAATAAACTGATGTACAGATGAGTGAATGAATGAAAGGTTGGCCGTGTGCATAAACTGATGTACAGATGAGTGAATGAATGAGAGGTTGGCCGTGTGAATAAACTGATGTACAGATGAGTGAATGAATGAGATGTATGATGTGTGAAAGGAGGGTTTAGCGAGTGTGTTAGCCGAGGTCGCAAGGAGCGTGAGTTCGGACCTCAGCAACATATGAATAATAGTAGATCTGCAAAGTGATAGATGAGTGAATAAATATAAGCTTGATGTGTGAATAAAGTTAATGTGTGGTATAACACCAATTGATGAATGTGAGGTTGCCCGTGTAAATAAACTTAGTAATTGGTGTAAGGGCGAGTAAATGCACTGATTAATTTATAACTAAAAAGATAACTTTTTGAAAGTATGGCTCAGCCATTTTTCACTCTAGTGTTTATGCTGTTGAGTCAATTATTGACTTTATGGTGCTTCGCAAATCACAAACCAATAAATAAATATTTATTTGACTATGAAGTAAATGAGTAATTATATCGATGCTAAATACCAAGAAAGTAATCATAAAAAACTCGACGTTTAAAGCATTTATTCTACTGTATTATGAACCGAATCTGCCAGCAACGCCCCACCCCCCCCCCCCCCCTAGTAATTATATCGATGATAAATACCAAGAAAGTAATCATAAAAAACTCGACGTTTAAAGCATTTATTCTACTGTATTATGAACCGAATCTGCCAGCAACGCCCCTCCCCCCCCCCCAACCTTTCTAATATTTTTTTATGTGAAGAAAAGAACCGTTTTGTCGGTACCTGCCAAAGAAAGTCCCAGGTACATGACCCCCCACCCAAATTACATAATTGTCTTCCTTGCTAAGGTGTGTCAGGCCTGGTACCAAGGCTTCAAGGTTCCAGCGCTGTGGAGGTCACGCATTATTGAGTTCGGTGAAATTAGAACAGAAGAAGAAATCGAAGAGGAGGTCTCAATGAATTCAGAAACAGGAACTTTAAAGTCTTACGGTACAGCTACTATACATTGTTACAGTCAGATAATGCTTTAACTAATATTCAGGTACAACTAGCAATACTGGATACAATAATTTGGGATACAATTAAAAATGTAACACATCAGTTTAAAAAAAAATTAAATGATAAATAAATTTAAAAAACGGTAACTGGTTCAGTTACCATACCTGTGCAACAAAATTAACATTAATATACAAATAACAAACCTTAAGAGTGCATTCTAGTGCAAACAAGATATTGGTACAAACTAAGATACATTCTGCAATAGCAAATAACAAACTGGTAGAATGCACGCAGTAACATGGCACAGATGGTGTCATTTATTGTATTCAGCCATGTTAATCACTTTAGAGTCCGAACACAAATGTCCTTTCCACCAATGAGTCAATCCCTTACCTTGCACCATTTATCCTTACTCCATGTTTCTTATTTAAACATTCCAAATGTATTTTTCAACAGGAAAGTGCGCGGTCAAATTCGCTAAACAGTTCCCGACCTCTCTCCAGGACATTGAGATTTACTTCAACCATGTGTATGGGCAAGATGGCAAAGTGATCGTCAAAGACTTCAAACAGTTCTCTGCGTGTTTGGATGGCGCCAAACTCAGAAACATTTCCATTGCATATCTGGATATAGGCATGGTCAGTCGGAAGATGCAAAAAGATGTTATTGATTCATTCAAGAGATTACTCCAGAACCAGCGCTCGCTACAGGTAAAAACAATGCAAAATGATACTTATCTTGGAGATAACACCACGATACATGGAAACCTCTGATAGGCATTGGGATCTGAGAGAGTCTTTAGTTAAAGGCGGTTGTAATGCAATTTTTGATATTTTCTCACTGGGTATCTAGGCGCTTTAAACCCTGGTTGAAAATTTCATTAAAAAAAAAACAAAAACAAAAAAAAAAAACAAACAAACAACCAAACAAGAAATTTTAGATAAAACATGCTATTTTTATAATAAAGTTAAGTCAGCTGTTCTCAACCTGTCGATTGCGGGTTGCCTTAGACCATCGGAAAACACACATACTCTACATTTATGAAGTAGAAACGAAAATAATTGTATGGTTTATGGGTCATCACACGACGGTGAACTGTATTAAATGGTCGTTGCATTAGGAATGCTGAGAGCTACTGCGTTATTTATATTTATATTTAAGCCTTTGAGGTAATATATGTTAATTATAAAGCGATTCGTTTTTGTTTTTTTCTTTTAATTCAATTTTTTTACAGTGTCAACAGTTTTAAATATATTTGTACTTTGAGTCAATTTCTTAAATGTTGTTTTGCATAATTATGACAACTCTTCTATTTTTGATTTAGAAATGTCAAATAAAGTGTTCATTCTTTGACCTTGAGACTGGTCTACAAATCATACAATGTTTAGCCGAGGCCTCTGGCGCTACAATTGAAGACCTATCTCTAGAGGGCTTATTCCACAATGGAACGCCTATTAACCCAAAAGGGCGGGTGTTAACAGAAATGCAGGTCATTGTCACATCTCTTTAGTATCACTATTCACTTGATTTGCTTTTATTTTCTAAAGATAAGATAGAGACACATCATTTACATCATGATTGCTTATTGTATCTTTTTATATTACTTGGTTATCTAAATATGTTATCTTATCTTATTTTTGTCTAGTTCTCTAATTATTTTATCTTATCTTTTTATTTTTAAATAATACCTCTGTTTGAATAGTATTTTTTTTTTTAAAATAATAGAATATAGGTTCTCTCAAATATAATTTTAGCTATTTTAATTTGGTGTTGTGCACCATACGTCTTAACTTTGGGTGTCATGACCTGGTCAATCTACGAAGCAACCCTTAACCCCACTCAAGAAGAGATTTTTGCCTAAACCGTTAATTTATTTTTTAAGTTTTAATTTTTTAAACTCCAACCAGGCTAATCATTGCGTTTATATTTTAACATTTTCAGAAATTCACAGGCCTTTCTCGTATTCACTTCGACTACTACTTTATTTCTGAAGAACTGGCGAAATCCTGGGTCATGGCATGTCCGAATCTCTCATTCATTAGGCTCGTTTCTGATGAATACATTCATCCCAGTATGTTTGATTGTCGGTTGGTTATTATGCTGTTTAAGTTTTGTTTAAATTAAACATTGTTTCAAACGTGTATGTGCCATTTAAAGTGCTTTAGTCTTGTAAAATGTATGGACAAGTCTCACAATTTGTTGTGTTGATAATTACGTTAGTGCAGTTCTATCTCCTCATTTAGAGGCCGAAGCATCCAAGTGAGTAGATACAATTTCTGTGATGCAATTGTTTGTGTATTTCTTTTATCATAAAGGCGTTACAAATGTCCCTAATGTGTCTGCATGGGCCTGCGCCATCTTGTGTTATTTGTGACGTAATAGTACACGTGCACACAACAATCAAGTGCATGTTTACTTGATTTACACATGACTAACACTGTCCTCCAATCCACTCAATCACATGACTAACACGGTCCTCCAATCCACTCAATCACATGACCAACACGGTCCAATCCACTCAATCACATGACTAACACGGTCCTCCAATCCACTCAATCACATGACTAACACGGTCCAATCCACTCAATCACGTGACTAACACGGTCCTCCAATCCACTCAATCACGTGACTAACACGGTCCTCCAATCCACTCAATCACGTGACTAACACGATCCTCCAATCCACTCAATCAGCTCACGTCGTAAGCTGTGAGACGTGGAAGTCATTGGTCAGAACACATCCAAATTTGTTGGTTGAGTTCAACGCCTCAGACATCCAAGACACAAAGCACATGCTTGATATATTATCACCGGCTATTCCCCTGTTCGATTTATCCTGGGAGAGATTTGAAGATACAACGGAATTTGAGGTAGGATAAAGTCATAGAATAATTTTTTGGGTGTGATTTGCCATTAATCTGTTTAAAAGTTCAAGTTGCAATTACATTGTACCTCTGCAACGGACACAATGCAACATTTATTACTTTGAACTTAATTTTAAAATGTGATAAACTATTTAAAGAGCGTTTTTTTGGAATTATTTTTAATTTTTTTTTTTTAATTTCTTTTTTTTTTTTTGAAACTCCAATTTTGGTTCAATATTTCAGCTTTTTTGGGGTATGTTATTAGAAAGAAAGAAATTATTTTAAGGATTTTTAAAGTGTGTTTTTTTGGAATTATTTTTAATTTTTTTTTTTTAATTTTTTTTTTTTTTTTTGAAACTCCAATTTTGGTTCAATATTTCAGCTTTTTTGGGGTATGTTATTAGAAAGAAAGAAATTATTTTAAGGATGGCCAGATTTCATGTCCGAAAAGTCCGTAAAAAATGAATTTTAATTTGGTCTGCTTGTCACCAATCGATAGACTCATTGCCCATGACAATGGATCCTATCAAATTTTCAGCCCCACCCCCAACTCCACAAAATTAGTTTTTCAAGGAAAATAAGAAGCAAACAAGGTGTCGATTATTACAGGAAATAAAAAAAAGCCTGATAACAAAACTAAACGAGATTTTTTAAAAACATAAGCAAACCTTGAATAGGAATTTTAGTTATGGATCTCAATTTAAAGATAAAGTATGCTACATGATTAATGGCGTCCACGCCGTCTATGGGAAATAGTAGATCAAGATAACTTTGGAATAGGGAGCTGTAACTTACTTTTGGGGGAAATTAAATGATACAACATTCTATTGTTAAGTGCCCCACCACACTTTTTGAGAGATAACTTTTGCCGTTGAAGAACCTCAACGTTTCAACATTGTTATAGGGTAACTTGAATATGTAAATTAAGGATTGTTATAGGGACCTCCTCCATTAACAAATTGATAACACCTTAAAGGCAAGGCCATTAGGTTAAACTAGAATCAAAATAATGCCTGGTAAAGCCATAATATATCAGAATATGTATCCCGGTTGTATCATAAACCTGGTGTGATCCCATTCCTGGTGTGACCCTGATACCCGGGAGATCCAAATCCCGGTGGAATCCCGATACTGATGGGATCCCTTTACCCGTTGTGATGCCGATCTCGGTGGGTTCCCGTTTCCTGGTCTGATTTCCTTTCCTGATGGGGTCCCTTGACCCCGTTACTCGATAGGATCGCATTAACGGTGGGCTCCACTTTACTCACCCCCATTTAGGATACTTTTCCTAGTTGGGTTTTTGTTACTGGTAAGATTATGAAGAGCAGGTTTAGAGAAATTTCCCAGGAAGTTATAGAAATTATTAGAACATAACTGACATTTCACTAAGGGTTTAGATATCATTATATGTCACCGTAAAATAATATAGATCGTTCTGGAATATTCCAGATTAAATTTTATATCTTCATTGAAACGTGTAAAATCTGTATTTTTGAAAGTAATTATTCTTCGAATACAAAAACTTATAGAACTAAATCACTGCTAGATGTATAGTCTTTTAAGCGAGCACCCCTTTCATAATTTTATCAAATCACTTTAGCCTGAGATTTTTTTTTTTTTTTTTTTTTTTTTTGAGGGTGGGGGGGGTTTTATCTGTCAGATGAAATCAAAGAGTTCAAATTTAAAATTCGTTCCATTAAAATCTATTTAATAATGTCATAGATATAGATTTTAAATTTAAGAAAACGTCTGGAATATTCTAGAATGGATATTCTTAGTTTTAAATCCACCTATATTTCACTACCGACAACTAAGTGTCTTGCTACTATGCTGGACCTATATCCATCTTTTCACATGTAATCTATTGTTTTGTCTTAGCTTATATATATTTATATTGATTTTTATAAGGAAAAAGGACATGGGGCTCCTGGCCTCAGATGAATGGAAATGAGTTCAGAACCATTCTGTATTTGAATATGGAATATTTAAAAAGAGTTAAGTGTAAAAGGTTTAATCAAATTCCATCTATTAGTGTAAGAATATTTGTTACAAATTGTGTTTATATAGTCCCCCCAGCCCCATACTGAATTTCATAAAATGAATTCCTAATTCCGTAAGGGTTACTTTGAGATAATGATTGATATATGTGTCAAGTTTGTTCAATATCCGTGAATCCACGTAAAATCATTTGTAAAACAAGCAAACCAACCAAAATGTTTCACTTTTATTTATGTTTATATAGTTGATATGATATCACGTATATTTGTCCACATTATTTACTATAAAGAAAGTAAAGATCTTTATCTATCTTCTTTAGATGATCCGATTACTTCATCGTGTTGCCCACTATCATAGAACTATAAGGTATCTGTCCCTCCGCATTTCGGGTCAATTTCCGAATTTGGATACAAAAGCAGTGCAGAACATCCTGTCAAAATGCACAAAACTGTAAGTCCATTTTGTATGTGACATTGAAGATTACTGATTGTCACCGTAAGCAATGCGCCTCACATTCTAAGAACATAAGCTTCCCAGGATATATTTACTTCAATTAAAACTCTAATATGAAACGAATTATTCTATAAAATATTTGTTTATCATAATTGATTGTTGATTGTTTTTTTGTTTTTAATTAATTAATCATAAAATAATGCTTAGTTTAGCTTAGAGATTGGATTTTGATTCCTTGCCATTTGAGGCTTAATTTCACTATTCTAGCTCAGTTAATAATTGACAGCTAATATATGTTTGTAACGTTATGGTTGGACTTGAGTTTATGACCACCTGTAGACAAAAGTTTACTCTTTCTATGAGTTAAGCATTCTTTATATGTCACAAATATATATATTTAAATTGGGAACGAAATAATTACAAGCAAACGTTTACAGTAAGATTTTAAAAATGTTATGGCTTTGAACATATAAAAAAGAAATTAAAGTAAATACTGCATACTTTAAAAATAGTCTATTGCATACTAAGTCTGGTATAATCACGTCACAAGATAACAAGTACCTAGCCTATGGGACGACCACTAAAAAGCCTGCTTTCAACCTCATGACTAGTGCTCACATTCCTAACCTAATTCTAATTGATCATCTTTTAATATCCGAAACCAGCCCATTTAAATACTTGTATCTCCCTGCATGATATCGCGGTGAAAGACAAGTCACATTGTTTCCTTTTAGATGCGTCAGTGACTTGCAAATTCTTGAGAACCTATGTGGTTTTAAAGACAACGATAATGATTAAGTTGTATTCTATTTGTAACAAGGATTTCCAGGTTGATCCCGGAGATTCCAGGGACTGGCGGGATACTTGGTCCACGATATCGGTGATAAATTTATTTAAAGGCAGGCAAATTTAAACATTTGCTTCAAAATTATAGAAAGTTAAATTATATTGTTGAATTAATACACATTATTTTTGTAAACACTTCCTTCATTCTTAGGTTCGGAGGGTGGGGGGGCTGGAGTGTCATTAAAACTAATATAGTTGACTGGAGAAAATGCGTCTGACTAGATCAACGCTTACGTGGGTCAGTTTCCCTGTCTCGGGAGCGAGTGACACTCAATGCTGCACTGACCATATCAGCTGCAACAAACTTATATCTAATACAAAATGTCAAGAAACATGAATAGTAAAAAAAACAACAAAAAAACATGTTTTCCCTAAACATAAATTGCCCCTAAGAGAGAAGAGAAGATTTAAATGTCTTGATTTTAAACGTGCCCTTAACAGAGAGAATAGAAGGCACTAATGAGTTATCAACATTTATTTAAAACATAATTTGTTTTCAAATAGCAAAGTCATTTAACACATAATTCACGCTATTTTGCCTAAAATTATGTGTCCAATAAACACCGTAAAGATAAAGCCTTTTAACCTGCCTTCTTGCACAGGTGTTATGTTGGTGAACACTCAGCTGGGAAGTTGGTTATCATTGGTGTTAAACATTGTGAAGTCCAGCATCAATATTAAGAAAGACACAAACGCTAGTGTCTTCTAATATGATTATATAAAGTTGCACATAGATTTTGATAGTAGAGTTTATGTTGCACTATATCCATGCCCCTCTTAAGAATGGTAATCCTGAAACTTAGCTAAACAAATATGCTTTAAATTCTCTGGCTAAGAAATACAACACTTTTCACAACCATAAAAATACCGGTCACGTTGGGATGATCATGAGAAGTGTGTTAGTTAATGGTACACAATTTAGTATTGAAAGAATATCCGCTCTATTCTTGATAAAAATGTCTCCATTTTTTAAAATTCAGTTTTTTAGTGTATCATTAACGGCAAAGAAGGTATTTGTGCAAAGTTTAGCCTGTTGCAAAAGCCTAAGCTCGTAGCAAAATGTGAAGTATTGTTTATGTGATATCTGTTTACATTCAATACCGTGACTGATCCTGTTGATGGTGAGGGCAGTGACTATTCTCTCTCTCTATCTCTCTCTCTCTCTCTTTCTTTCTCTCTCTCTATCTCTCTCTCTCTCTCTTTCTCTCTCTCTCTCACTCTATTTCTGTAAATATCTCTTGAAATTCTCACCATTTGCATTTTTTTCCAGTGAAATTTTCTGTGTCGCATATCGGACATGTTTTCCTTTATTCAAATGATGTCAAGAGCATTATTGTGTTGATAGACATTGGAAACACGAGCATACCAAACAAGCCACAGCGTCAGCAGAGGAGATTGAGACACTAAATAGGATTTTTCCCTAATTTTCAAAATATTTAGTAAAATAAATCACGTCACAAATATTGCCTTGCTTTATTAACATTTCAAATTTAGGAATTATTTGCACGGAAGAATTAACATTTATATTCGTGATATCAAGTGGAGAATTTTAGTTAAGATGAGATCTGAAGGCAATGATATAGTTCATGAACAAGTTTGTGATTATGACACCTGGTTTGATCTGATAGTAACGACGTAGCTCATGGACAAGTTTTTGATTGTGAGACCTAGTGAGTTCTGAAGGCAAAGATGTAGTTCATGAATAATTGTGTGATTGTAACACCTAGATGGCAAAGATGTGGTTCATGAACAAGTTTTTGAGACTTAGTGAGTTCTGATGGCTAAGATCTAGTTCATTAACAAGTTTGTGATTGTGACACTTAGTGAGATCTGATGGCAAAGATGTAGGCAATGAACACGTTTTTTATAGTGACACCTAGAGATATCTGAAGTCAAACATTTAGTTCATGAATAGTTTCGTGAAATCTGATCTTAGGATTTTAAGTTGTAGAAAGTGGCTCTATCCATTTCTGATGACAAAGTTTGTGTTTGTAACGGCATCGGTGTAACATGTTGTGGCACTATATCCACATCCATCTTTTTCTGTTTGTTAATTTGGTAACCCTGACCCACTTAACTGATCGTGTTTATCTTGCTTGATTCTGAGGGTTTAATGATAGAAAATAATAATAATAATAATAAAATGAATATAAAATTGTGACATTCAAAATTTTTTTTAAAAAAAATACATAGATATATTTACTTTTTGCATTGACATAAGGGCAGCAAATGGATGTTTTTTTCGAGAGTTTCCCCCCTTTAGTCTCGTCAAACTTGTGATTCGTATTTTAATATAACTTTCCATAAATGGAAATTGTTATTATTATTTAGTAACAGAAACAATACTAGATCACCGACCCGTGTGGCAGCTCGCGAGTTAAAATTACTTGATGATTTGTGTCAACTCTTGTTGTGCCACCTATTTGGTGGCTCCCTGTGCCCATTTTCATAATAATATTGAATCAGCGGTTAACTGCTGGTCCACTCATGGTTCCGAGTAACGGGAATTTTTTCTATGTATTAACATGTATCTGAAAATAGCATTTTAATTAACAATGTTTGGCATTATTGTATGACTTATTGTAAAAAATAATATTGTATGAGTTTAACTGCTGACGAACATTTTAACTTGATAAATCTTTCTTTTAGTGTTTACAAGTTACAGTAACTGTTATTGACATTGTAAATGGATTCCCTTGTTATCTTTCAGGCTGCCATTCCAATGTGAGAAGGAAACGAATCCTGTATTTCACGAAAACAAATGGAACCTGTCCCAAAACCGTTGGTGGTTCGCACAAAACAACGTCTAAGCCATTATTAGATGCCCCACACATTAAGATTTATTATGTGTTCATTAATTTTTTTTTCATTTATAAAAATTACCGGTTCTTACAATTACACAATATCAACATTTTATTTTTAGGCTCTTCTTCGTGTAAAAATGTGGCTTTATACGCTAGTACATAAGAAATGTGCCAATACATCTTTTATTTTACCATTAACATCTAATGATATAATAAACTTTAAAAAATTTAAGCACTATTAAAAATTAACTCTAAAAATGTTGGATAAATATGTATTTTTATACATGCTTAATTTACATAAATCTGAACGTCAAACTTTACACACAGGTACATGTTCATGCATTTAAATTTTGCCACGATTAAATATATACATGTTATGCATTTGATATCAAGTTATCAAGCCTTTCTATTTAAAAAAGTAAATTCAATGTATGCTTTCGTGTCACGTGGTTGTTGATTTGCAGCATTTTGCGCTATTTAAAATGTCACATTGGCAATTGACGTCGGTGGAACATCGAGGGTAAGCTGTTAATGCCCTCCCCGTCGAATCTCCACAAAGACCAGGAGCAGGGTCTCTCTGACTCCGGACCATGTGACAGCACGCCGATAACTTACCCTGACCTGGCCGCTCCCATCCACCACAGCTTGATCGGATTTGGCTTATGGTAGCTTCCCCCCCCCCCCTGGGGCGTTCGCAGCTGACTCTCCCAGGCAGTCGGGATGGTACATTAACGTCCTAATATCATTTCCCATCCATCACGGGGAAAGGTATTACGCCCTAAAAGAGGATTTGTACAGTGGTTTTTCAACAAAAGACTAGTTTGCAAAGTAGCTGGGAGGAAACGGTTGAATAACGCAATAACTGTTAACATACTTCGCTATAAATAAGTATCTTGGAGATAGTGCTTTTTAAATAGCTTCTTTAACGTAATTTAATAGTCTCTTTAAGCGCAGTGGGCGCAAATTTTATTTCCTGAAACTACTTTCATTATATTTCTTTCATGTTCCCTTTGAACAAGTGGAAATACAAATTTTAAGGATTAGGGTTCATCGGGGGCTGAAAATTCGACATAATTTCGTTGTTTTCGTTTGAATCTGGTCTATGTGCTAAGTTTAATCTCGATAGCTTGATGGATAATGGGTCAATTAGAAGTCCAAAAAAAATTTGACAGCCATCCGGCCATGAGCGAAAACAAAATTAATTTAAAGGAGTTAAAAAGAAATGTGAACAACCAACATGAGTCAGAAATAAAAAGAAATGTAAACAACCAACATTTGACAGAAATAAAAAGAAATGTAAACAACCAACATGTGACAGAAATAAAAAGAAATGTAAACAAACAGCATGTGACAGAAATAAAAAGAAATGTAAACAACGAACATGTGACAGAAATAAAAAGAAATGTAAACAACCAACATTTGACAGAAATAAAAAGAAATGTAAACAACCAACATGTGACAGAAATAAAAAGAAATGTAAACAAACAGCATGTGACAGAAATAAAAAGAAATGTAAACAACGAACATGTGACAGAAATAAAAAGAAATGTAAACAACCAACATGCGACAGAAATAAAAAGAAATGTAAACAACCAACATGTGACAGAAATAAAAAGAAATGTAAACAAACAGCATGTGACAGAAATAAAAAGAAATGTAAACAAACAGCATGTGACAGAAATAAAAAGAAATGTAAACAACCAACATGTGACAGAAATAAAAAGAAATGTAAACAACCAACATGTGACAGAAATAAAAAGAAATGTAAACAAACAGCATGTGACAGAAATAAAAAGAAATGTAAACAAACAGCATGTGACAGAAATAAAAAGAAATGTAAACAACCAACATGTGACAGAAATAAAAAGAAATGTAAACAACCAACATGTGACAGAAATAAAAAGAAATGTAAACAAACAGCATGTGACAGAAATAAAAAGAAATGTAAACAACCAACATGTGACAGAAATAAAAAAAAATGTAAACAACCATCATGTGACAGAAATAAAAAGAAATGTAAACAACCAACATGTGTCAGCAATAAAAAGAAATGTAAACAACCAACATGTGTCAGAAATAAAAAGAAATGTAAACAACCAAAATGTGACAGAAGTAAAAAGAAATGTAAACAACCAACATGTGACAGAAATAAGAAGAAATTACCAAGTGAATTGTGAATATTTCTTAGATGCGTAGACCGCTTTCAGGACATCGATATACTTTTAATGGCGTAAAACTTTTCATAATGAACCTCTGAAATTGCATTTTTGCAACCGGCATATGCTTCAATGTTTCGAACTTTAGGTGCGATTTATATGTTGTCTTAATGATGTAAATCAGAAAATTTCCTCTTTCAGGTGGAGCATTTGTCCCGTCTAGCAAAAAGTAAGCAGTTCATATGAAAAAAGTCAAAGAGGGACTTTATATGGCTAATACATGTCCCTACCAATTGTCAATTTCCCTTAAGTCAAACTCCTGTTGAAAATTTAAAAAAAAAAAAAAAAAAAAAAAAAAAAAAAAAAAAAATTTAAAAAAAAAACAATATATGAAAAAAGTCAAAGAGGGACTTTATATGGCTAATACATGTCCCTACCAATTGTCAATTTCCCTTAAGTCAAACTCCTGTTGAAAATTTAAAAAAAAAAAAAAAAAAAAGAACCACACAAAAATAGTTTTAATCAAACACGTACCAATACCGTACCAATACCGTACCAATACTGTACCAATACCGTACTAATACCGTACCAATACCGTACCAATACCGTACCAATACCGTACCAATACCGTACTAATACCGTACAAATACCGTACCAATACTTTACTAATACCGTACTAATACCGTACTAATACCGTACTAATATCGTACTAATACCGTACTAATACCGTACTAATGCCGTACTAATACCGTACTAATACCGTACTAATACCGTACTAATGCCGTACTAATACCGTACTAATACCGTACTAATACCGTACTAATACCGTTCTAATAAGTACTAATACCGTACTAATACCGTACTAATAACGTACAAATACCGTACTAATAACGTACTAATACCGTCCTAATACCGTACTAATAACGTACTAATTCCGTACTAATACCGTACTAATACCGTACTAATACCGTACTAATAACGTACTAATACTGTACTAATAACGTACTAATACCGTACTAATACCGTTCTAATAACTTACTAATACCGTGCTAATACCGTACTAATACCGTACTAATACCGTACTAATACCGTTCTAATAACGTACTAATACCGTACTAATACCGTACTAATACCGTACTATTACCGTACTAATACCGTACCTGTTCCAGCGGTCTAAACTAAGTCAATCTAACTATTGTGGTCTGGATTTCAATCCCTAGCAAAAGCCTAGACAAGGAAAATCAACATTAGCATCCCATGTGGAATGGGCACGCTAACCATGCATCTATGAGATCAAACGAGGAGATGGAGTCCCGTAGGTGGATTGCATTGACACAACTTTAGCGACGCCACGGGTGCCAAGCTGTATTAGCCACATTATGTTCGCTTGGTTTACTCAGCGGCGCAGAGATGGGTGATTTGCTGTGTAGCGTACAAGCTTATAATCCTATATTGATAACCCTTGTGGAATTCTGCCTGCAAAGTCTACACCACTGTCACACAGTGGACCGATACCAGCTTCCAACAAGATAATTAAATACAACAACAGTACATTTTTTAAAAGTATTTCTAGTTATAATGTCATAGAAAAAGCTAATTTAGAATGAAGGAGAAATATTAAGATTAATCAGTCATGAAATATAAAGAAATTTAAGTCATTTAAAATGAATACAAACAAACTAGAAATAGCCTTTATACATAATTTTAGTGCAAAGGAACAGATTGGAAAAAATTGATTGCGTTTACGCCAATATTTTTTTAAAAAAACATCAAAACAAAGCTACTTCAGGCAAAACGTGATTGACTATATATATAAGAATGAGCTAGGTTTACATAACGATAAAAGGGAGATACTTTTTAAGTACGTTCGGATTCCTAAAAACAATCATAGTTATTTTCTATAATTTACGGAATTCGAAAATATTTATAAGTGCAAAAAATATTTTAAATCCGCATTTATTTTAGTAAAAAACTTAAATAGTATTATTATAAGTTACAAATACATTTTAAGTATTAACTAAAGAACTATTTTAAGCATTTTATATGTGTTTGAAAGTTATGAAAAAATAACAATTTTAAAAAAAATGCTTAAAGAACTACACCGTAATCACATGTATCGGAAAAACACAGACATCGGTAGTTTTTAGTGCGTCTTTTAGTGCGTTGTTAATATTGCGAAATAAAATTCTAATTAATTTGTTCTCAATAATCACGCCAATGACGTCATAGCGTGAATAGCCTATATTTCCAAAACTCTTAGTTTTTTTTTTTTAATTTAATAACCGTGCTTGACAAAACTGATAATGTATTTTCCCTTTTAAAGTTAAACTTAATAAATACAACTGATTGCTTTTTGAATTGTTAATAAGACACACGCACATTTTAGCATTAAATATTTTAACATTTAAAAAGGTATGCCTTTTTCATTTGAAAAATATACTTTTATTAAAATTATAACGTAATAAAGTCTAACCTTTAAATATAATGCTAATAAGAAAAATGCTGTTTAAGCCAATCAGTGCAGCGCACTTCTATAGCCAAATATTATTCACCAATCCACTTATAGCTCATACAAATAAGAACGAACCATATGAAGTGCAAAATATGTTAGTTTGGGTTTTTGAAAGGACTACAATCCGGTGAAAGATGTTCTAACTTTATTTAAATCTAAGTGGGGAGGTGTTGTTCACTTTGCCACAGGCAGCACAAGATACGTCTCAAAATAAAGGAATCAATTGGATAAATAATTAACCTTCTTTGGTATATACATATCGGAGGTAGGATATGGGATGTGTACATTTTTACGAGGATGACAATATATTTAAATCCTATGGTATTACATTTGTGAAAAAAGATATGCCATTTTCTCTTTTTACAAATATTTAGATGTTCATTTTGCTCAAGGCTGCACAAGATACGTTTCAAAATAAAGGAATGAATTTGATCAATAATTAACCTCATT